GGAACATGTTTTTCAGGCATAAGTTGTATCATTTCACGGCTGAAATAGCAGCTCCTGCACTAAAACATCATGTACTGTAAAACTCCTCCATCACTAGGTGCTAACTTACTGTAGCCTTCGACCTCTTGATGTTCCCTCCATGTGCCAATTTAGGGTCAAATTTTCCTTAAATCTGTGAATTCCATCAGAACAAACCCTGGGCTATTGCAGATACAGGAAAAGGTGTCATAATTGGCACCTTCCCAAACTAGCAGACCCGGACTTGCCTCCGTCTTGATGCAGAGGAAAAAACAACAGATGGCCAACTATTTACCTCTAATTAACACCAACAGATTTGTTTTCAGAAGGTTACAAGAATACCTCATTGAGTGGAGGTAAAGTGTGGTGTCGAGGAGTCTCTACACTGGCTATACCTGAGAACCTGTCTCCCATTAGACCTGTAGACACCTCAAGCTCCTGATCTCTATCTACCTGACTTGTAGGTGTCATTATAGGAAGGTTTCCAGGAAGGGTTAATTAAGGTTGCATTCTGTTTAGAGTCTGGAATTTGTTGAGAATTCATGTAGATAATGGTGCCAGTAACAGTGACCATTAAGTGGCTATACACTGTTAACTAGACCTTGTTATTTATCATCTTTCTGGCACTTTCTGTGTTTTGGTTGAAAAGACAGACACTGCTCCAAGCACAAAGGTCAAGGCTGCTTAGAGAGTTCTTGCATTTAGAAATACACTGCTGCTGAGAGTTCTTTTGTAATCATATGCCAAACTCCCAATGTTTTTACATATATATGAATATGAGTAATGGGTCAGAATTTCTGGACATGTGGATTCGTGAAGTAATTGTACAAAATTATTCAGATATAATGTTAATTGGTCTTGTCAACGTGTCTTTATGAATATGAATAAAAAAACCTTATATGATAATCATGAATTTTAATGACTTGTCATAAATCAGTATTCAACAGAGGTAAGAAATTTGATATGAAACAAACATTAAGGGGGAAATGCTGTACTGTAAATATAAAAATTTCAAGAATACTCGAATGAAATGCTAAATGCATTTACTTACAAAACCATGGAGGGCATTTCAACTCATTAAAAATATATATATTCAGAGCAATTTGCATGTTACTTATTTAAGTTGTCATACATAAGCTTTACAATGAGGATATATGTTGATTTCTACACGCTATCTGTATAAACCTACGTCACAAAGGAATAGCCAATAGCAGCAACATAAATAAGATATTTAATATGTATGAATGGGTGCCTATGTTTCTAGTTGATTCCATCAACCTATCACTGAACATGCTAACATATTACATCAATTAAACAGAATACGAACACTACTATTATTGACCGTCGGTCAAAGAACTGAAGTGTGTTATAACACCACCTAGTGGTACACAAGTTACATAGGTTATTCCCCTTGACTATGCCTTGTTTAAACGACATCAAGGAAAGAATTTGAAGTGTTGGTGTTATGACACCTAGTACAACCTTTGATTTCTATTTGTCATTGAACTTTAAGCTCAATTTTCACATTAACTGAACTTTTCTCTTTATCATTCTTCAAAAAATGAAATATATATATATCAGATCAACTAGCTAGACTTGGCTCCTGTGCAATTTCTATGTTGAATGGAGGTTTTCAGTCATACTAAAGATTCTGTAGTCCACTTAAGCTGGAGTTGACACATTATTTTGCAATTACAGGCAAATCCATGAGACGCATGCTTTGTGTTGGTGATAAGAAGCCAAATTCTGATGCATAACACTATTGTTGGTTTTGAATCTTCACAGAAGTTCACACATGCTGTATTACAGTAGGCACAATAGCATTTAAATGAGCCTTATATCTGTGCATGTTTACCTGCCACGATCCACACTGGGGCAGTGCAAAGGTGGTGTGGAATATCTGAGGCTGCTTGTTTGTTCCCTTTAGTAGTAAATGTGAGGTGTAATACTTCTTAATAAAATATGAAGCATTGGAATATTTTCAATTCTTAAAAATAGGCTTGGTTTGATTTTTCTTCTGGTCACTGTAGTGATGACAAGTTAGCATTTTAATACTGACTCCAGATACAAGAACCTTGATTTTTGGGTTAACTTTTACTGTGTGGTAGCAGTGATCATTGTTATGTGTTAAAATACTGTTCTTCCACTACACTTGATAAATATATCTTGCCCTCAGTTCCGCAAATTTTTCTTTAAGTTGAAGAAAACACTTAAATTCATCTATAGATAGAAAAGAGGTTTCTGAACTTCAGCTTTCCTAAGGAACAATCTGTGTTGGAATACCCTTAACTCATTCACCCCTAAAGACACATTTGAACTCTTCCAATTCAATGGTTGGAATAGTTCATCATGATATTTCAGGGGTGAATGAGTTAACAGTGCTCATATGTTGAATTTTATCTCTGATGTGCACTGGCCTCTGATATACACTAGGTGCAAGGAGTTCATCATTAGCATTTACACATCATTCTTAACAGTTTAAAATTTACATAGTTGAAACTGTTCGGTTTCCAGTAAATTACATACGCACCATCTGATTGTGTCAGTTTTGTGTTGATCGAACAATATGTCTTAATTGGCGTTGAACTCAGTGCTCATATGTTGAATGTTATCTCTGATGTGTACTGGCCTCTGATATACACTAGGTGCAAGGAGTTCATCATTAGCATTTACACATCATTCTTAACAGTTTAAAATTTACATAGTTGAAACTGTTCGGTTTCCAGTAAATTACATACGCACCATCTGATTGTGTCAGTTTTGTGTTGATCGAACAATATGTCTTAATTGGCGTTGAACTCAGTGCTCATATGTTGAATGTTATCTCTGATGTGTACTGGCCTCTGATATACACTAGGTGCAAGGAGTTCATCATTAGCATTTACACATCATTCTTAACAGTTTAAAATTTACATAGTTGAAACTGTTCGGTTTCCAGTAAATTACATACGCACCATCTGATTGTGTCAGTTTTGTGTTGATCGAACAATATGTCTTAATTGGCGTTGAACTCAGTGCTCATATGTTGAATGTTATCTCTGATGTGTACTGGCCTCTGATATACACTAGGTGCAAGGAGTTCATCATTAGCATTTACACATCATTCTTAACAGTTTAAAATTTACATAGTTGAAACTGTTCGGTTTCCAGTAAATTACATACGCACCATCTGATTGTGTCAGTTTTGTGTTGAATGAACAATATGTCTTAATTGATGTTGAACTTTTGAAGAGGTACTGTGATGGTACTGTTGTAAAGGCTTCCATCAAGGTGTCACTGTGAAGGGTGTACCTTGTAGAGTTTACTTATTGGCCACTTGAACCTCCACTTGAGCTTGCCTTGTTTGATTTGAATAGCAGGATCACTTACCATATTACCATGTTGAGTGTGCACAGTAAAGAGTGGATTTTAAGGAAATTGCAACTTCTTATTGCTTGCTTGATGGTTAGCATTTTCTTCGAAAGGGTTGAGGGAATGAACTATAACAAGGCGTTTATTGACTTTCCAAAGTAGTTTTACCTGGTGACGTTCGCAACTACAAGGACATAAAGCTGACTTAAAAAAGTGTATATATACCTATTTTCAAGTCGACACATATTTTTTGATAACATCATAAAAATGCTGAATCTTGCATAGAAAATCAGCTGATATGCGAGTTAATTTCAGTTGTGTTGCAGATTAAAATCTCTTTAATAGGTAGTGACTATGTAATGTTTAGGACGTGTGAATAAAAAGAGTACTTATATAGCCTGATATTACAGACTCTAGGCTGTAGCGTATTGACAGTTAGCGAAACCAACTGCCATAAAATGGTATAGCTGGTGGCTGTTTTATGAGATTCTTCACTCAATGCTGTCCCACAGTTATTGTGATTTGTATGGTAGGTATTGTTGGGGGTATGTCCTCGTATTAAATACCAATAATGTACAATTGATGATCGGTCATGGATGTGAAAGTAAAGTGTTATCTTTCATAAGCTATCTGGTTGCATATAAATAGAATCATTACACTGGCTTTGATGTTTTATAGTGAAGCTGACCTATGTAGTCTTACAACGTTGTTTTACATAGGTGTACCACCACAGTTTCCCAGACATGTTTGCTTTCCTCTAGCTCAAGGGTCAAACAAGCTTCATACAATTTTCTGTCTGTTTAGAGTAGAAGGATGAGTCTTTAGAGATTTTATGATTGGGTTTTGGTTTTGTTTAACGGTAGAACAGAGCCTCCTTATGTTGTAAATAGGTCTAACTCTGCATACAACCACAATGATCCAGGCTAGAATGGTTCAGTATCCAAACCTATATTGATCTATCTTGAGATCAGAGACAACAAATTGCATATTGTATTCGTGAGTGAAATGCTTAGGATAAGCCCTATTGAAATTGATCAACATGAAAACACAATTAAACTAAATTTTACTTCTGTACATACAAGAATTGTGTATCGTATTTGTTTTGATTGTTTTTATTTGGATATTGTGAAAGCCCTTCGAGGGAATAAAGTTTCAGACTAAATGTCAGACAATGGCTGATGCCCATCATTGATATGTAACCTATTACATTCTATCGGTGTATGCCACTCACCATACTCACACGGTTCTCCTGTCATACACTTAATCGAAAAGAATGAAATACAATGAAAGCATTGGAGTCTTCCTGTGATACAATAGGTATTGCTTTTTTCAAATAAAATGAAGGATATGTCTTATTGTGTTTTGATGCAATTAAAATATGAATATCTAATGGTTAAACTGAAAGCTATCAAAATAAATACATTTACCCTTTGTAATAAAATTATTTCATTGTACTGCTGTAAGTAAATGCAAAAGCAAAGGTACATTCGCTTATACATGTACTTCATGGGAAAAGTTGGCATTTGTGACGGCTGTAGAAACTAACTCGTTGTTTTTTTTTTTTTGTGATATTGTTACTATGTTCATTGTTGTGTCATCTACCTGATGTTGTGCTTGTTTATATTTTCCAGGTAACATAGAATATTCTTGCCCAGCAAATGGAGACTGTGAGATTACAAAGAGAAGGAGGAAGGCATGTCAGGCGTGTCGTTTCCAGAAATGTTTACGAGTGGGCATGCTCAGGGAGGGTAAGTGAAGTTTCATCCATTTAAAAATAGGCTTTCACATCTCTTTTAACTCATTCACCCCTGAATACAAGTTTGAACTCTTCCAGTTCAAAGGTTGGAATAGTTCGTTATGAAATTTCAGGGGTGAATGAGTTAAGATTTCAACTTCATCAAGAGCTTAATTTTTGAAAATTGTAATTGACATTCAACAAATAGGTAATTGCAGGTAATCAAAAGTATTTTTCCGAGGCTGCAAGGCTATAAACAACAACACTTATTGAATTGTCACTGTTTGCCACTGCTCTGGCTGCTTTAGCATTTGACGTGGGCAAGGTCAGCACCGTGGGACAGGATCAATGACATGAAGGAATTTCGTTATGGTAAACCTTGACCTGCAATTGAAAGTTTTACATATGTCACATAGTGGTCAAGGAAGGTGAGCAATCGCTAGAGGCAAAGGGCATTTTTTAAGTGAAGTGAGTTTGGATTGTGTATTTCACTTCTTTTTTCAAAGTGCTCTATATACAAAGTGAATTCTCTTGGTTATTTGACTTGCTTGTATGCTGAGATGGTGTTTTTACTGACAGCATGGTTTTGTGTCACTGTTCTGGGATCCTAACTAAATCTTGGCAAGACATTCTTCGTATTTGTCGGCATAAAGATGCATTAAGAAGCCCCTTAAGTATTAGTCTAGACGCCATTGACGTACCAGGTGTTTTAAGTAACACAATGTTGAGGTTATACACCCTAGGTTAACCACATCCTACATAGAGGATCAGCTAAAAAAGGCCTGGCATTATAGCCACTTTGGAGATTATCGAGCCAGTTGGTATTTTGTAGAGTTGTGACCCTTCGTTGACATGTCTAATTAATCTGTGCTTTTCACTGAATCTGAATGACGCCTTTACGTATTACAAATGTACTGGTTTTCTACTTTTATGATGGATTACTGAATCTTTGAGGTTTGTCGGAGATTAACCTATGGAGAATGCCCAGGCTAAGAAGTGAAATGTATATTTACGTACAGTAGTACCTGGTACCCATGTATAGAGCTATAGGGGTTTTACTCTTGACTTGGTACAGAAGTATATTTACCTTAGGACCTTGTCATTTACATAATATATTGCTCCTTATGAACAGATTTCATATGTTTCTATCTGACTACAGGCTTATCCCCAGTAATCCTATCCTCAATGAGACACAGTTCCTCAGGCCCATCCAGCAATGGACATTTAATCTTACTGATCAACACCTTTTACAACAATTTGATGCTAGTTTGATTTTATTGCAAACCCATTTTGAGGTATGGTCAACTTAATTTCATACACAGGAACATTGTTTTTTATTTACGTGGCATTTTTGTGAAAAGGTTAACATTTCAATGAACTTGTTCCAGGGGTTCAACAAAGTTCCTATTAAAAAAATACTTTCAAATTATGATAAAATAGTGTTACCGAGAAATAACAGTGTTAAAATATGTAGATTTTGACATTAAATCTTGCTTTCTGTCACGCCCATGGAGACAACAAATTGTTTTCGGTTTGGCTGACTGCTTTTGAAAGATGTTTATGCCAATGTGTTATGGAAATGAGTGGGAGTTGGCGACAGGGTTACATCTTGTTGACCTCTGACCTGTCCACGTGACCATGAACCATACCTGACTAGGAACAGACAAAAAACAAGCTAATAAGATGCCACAAATCTTGATGTCACAGGCCTGAATGACTTGGTCCTAAATCAACACCTGAACTTTCACACCTCATATTTCATTTGGGAAATGGACATCATGGATATTGTTGAGCACGGTTGACAAGGGGCACTTGGATGACAGCACACCATCCTTTCTCAAAATGGATTAGTGGCCAGAGGTTAGCTAAGCTATCTCCAGTTTCTGTCTCTTGAGAGTAATCTGTGATGACAACAGCAAGAACATCTCATTGGAAATATGGCCCATTGCTCTTGGCTGCTGATTTGTTGTTGTGATTTACACTATCTCCCTATAGAACACATACATAGTGATATAAATCAGATTCTTTTGAGAAGAAATGTTTTTTCGTGGGGTATAATGAATTTATAAATTCAAATCGCTATTCAAATGCTAGCTAATGCTTTTCTAGCGACAATGAAATATCGATTATTGCCAATACCAAAATCTTGAAAATAAATCTTGGCAGTCAAGTTAACAAAAAAATATTTGTAAAACATCATTGAAAAGTGCTTTACATATGCATAGATAGAAATAGATGAAACGGTGAGTCAGCCGGAATATAGCAGAATAAATATGTCAACATATTTTGGTACCTCCTCTCCAGACTTGAACGGTTGAATCATGCCCCTTACAAAGACTTGGTAATGAGATTAGGTTATAAATATGCAATCAGAATTTTATTATAGATGCAGCCTTGCAATATAGAAAATTAATTGCCAAAAAAAGTGTTTGTCAGTGATATACGTAACTCAATCTAAAAACAAGAACGTTCTATTGTTCTGTAATGATATCAGCTATATACCACCGATGATGTCAGATCAATGACTGCTTAAACTAGGGGCTTTGTACTGGCACAATGATCAAATTGTCTGACAAGCATAATTTACATGTATGCAACTTATTGGCATTAATTGGAAGTTTACATTCAATGAAGCCCCTAAATCATATGTTAATATTTGACATTTAAGTGCATGAATTTACTGTTCGGTGCACAAATTAAACATTGCATCAAAAGTCTATCATTGACATGTAATAAAGCAGACAGTCAGATGACCCTCCAGGCAGACATGGCTTGTGGAGGCATTTAAAATGTTTGAAAGCATTTGTTATCTACTTATTGGCAAAATGTCTGCTCGATTGAAGTTATACTATTCAGCTTGTATTCAATCATTTTGATTTCCCATTGGTTTATTTAACCACACTGCATAGATCACATAATGTCTGTTTTCATAAATGTGTATGGCTTATTGGCAACTACTTAAGAATGGTTTATTCTCGGATGTAGGTTAGGTCCCTTGGTGGAAGTCTTCTCATTCTCAGAGAAGCTTGAATAAGCAGGTAAATCCTCCTCCTGCACAGTTAGCAAAACTTCATGATGTGAATATGTAATAGCTTTCAGACAAATCCTCAGTTGTAAGCGTACAGTGTTGAGAATTACTGGTGAATAGTCTTCCTGGTCAGGTCTTCTCAGTCAAACTCTGTGTCCTTTCACTTCATCAATTTTTGGTGAAATGCTGTATAATGGGTAAAAATTTCTTGTGTGCATATAAATGTATAAGGGAACAAGAGCATGAATTGAAGAATTGGCAAGCTCCAATACCATGCTGAAAATGTGCCACATTTGCATTTTTATGTGACAGCCCAATATTGTCCATGGGAGGGGACTGACACTGTAGGGACAGCAAAGTGTGACTGTTAATATTGATTCTGTTCAATAAATTGCTACCTCCATCAGAAAGCAATCATCACCCATTAAATTAAATAGAATCGGAAAGCAATACCAAATTTGCTGCCTGCGTTGGTGGAGAGAAAACGATGAGGAGGAGGAGGAGGAGGAGGAGGAGGAGGGGGAGACAGACTGTTGACTAGAACACACACACTTGTGGTCTGTTCTGGTCATTTGAATGAGGATCACACCAGCACAAAACCCTGTATCCTAGTGTGTCCCCAGAGAGTGCCTTGCTTTCGTTTAGACCAGCAAGTGTGTGAAGTAGAAGTGTTGGAGACAAATTGATAATGCCAAGCACTGTGAATACTACCAAGCGATTATATGTTGGTAGTGATAAAAAAAAATTCCCAGGATTATGTAAATATCTGTTGCATGTTGACTTGCCATCTCTTTCCACAACTTCTGATAAATTTGAATCCATGCCAGTTGGAGATGGAAAAGACAGAAATAGACGGGCTTTGATATCATCAGGAAAAATTAGAGATTAAAATAGAGAAAAAAAATTACTGCATGTTGGCAGAGGATTTGATGTCATGCAATCCTTTTTGTGTCCACTGCCACACCTGCCAGTAGGATTTCCCTTTCATGTTTTGAATGTAGAAAGACTTGGCCGTTCCTTTTAACAATTTTACATTATTATTCCTATCACAGAAGTCTAATGAAGAAATCAAGACATAAGGGTTTTGCTAAGACATCGGGAAGTCATTTAAATTTAACTCAAAAAAAGTCAATCAAATGGGAAAATACTTAAGTTTTCTATTTAAATACTGATGATTATCGTGTGTAAACTCCATTTGAACAGGATTGCAATAACTCAATTTGAAAAGAGTTTAAAATGTACTCACTTTTCTATACAAGGTCAGGCTATTTTTGAAACAGGACATGAGGCATACAGTATACAGAATTTTAATTCAAACTGAAACTGAACTTTTCTGATTTTTTTTTTAACTGATAGTTATTTAAAATATGCAGTAACAAAAATCTATTCAACATTAAATTGTGCCACAACTATTTCACAGCCAATTAAAGAAAACGTCTACAGTTTAATATTTTCGTTGTATTTTAAGTGATTTTGATAAAACCACCTTCTGTATATTATAGTATTATGGTAACATCATGATACAGTAACAAATATAGATCCAACATTTAATTGAGCAACAACTATTTCATGGCCAATTAAAGTAAATGTCAACAGTTTATATTTTTATGATATTTCAAAGGGCCTATTTAGTCTAATAACACCCTTAAACATTTTGAGATACTGAGGTACATCTAACGAAAGTTTAGGTAGCAATGTCTCTTGTCAATTTCTCAACTTGATTTGTTCATAAGAAGTATCAATCTATTATCATGAAGAATTTTGTGATAAGATTATATAAAAAATGTCTTCCATTTAAGAAATTAAAGAAATTATAAACTACCTTTTGTATGTTACAGTTCTGATAGTGACAACATCACTGGATAATATGATTTGATTGGTTGTAAACAGCCCCATCAGTGTCTTTAGAACAAAGTGACATGTTTCCTTCTGTTTATCCGTAACTTGCTAAAACAAACCCCGTAATATTATTAGCTGCTCACACT